TGGCACTGGCTTCTGGCAGCTGGGCCTGAGGTTATGCAATCGCCAGGGTTTGCTGCGGGCTGTGGTGGTGGTGAGGTCTCCCGGGGTTAGGGGAAGGGGAGAAAGCTTGAGTGTGGTTTTCAGATGCATCGGGTTTAAAAGCTGCTCTGTGCTCACGACATGCAGCTCTGGGAGAAATACTCAGACCTCCTGAATCTTAGTTTCCTTGTCTACAAAACGGGGGTAGTAAAAAGGGCCCCGCTTCTAGGGGAGCATGGAATAGATAGGAGAAATAACATTCGTCAGGGAGCCCGCGGTGCTAGGCCTGACGGGGCTGGGCTTTGCCACTTCCTGGGCAGCTGCTTCGCCTGCTCGAGTCACGGAGCCTCCCTGGATCCGCTCCCTCCAACGTGGGAAAGGAAGGACAAGGACAGCTCTGCCATGGCTTTCAGATATGAAAACACTGGAGACAATAATTTTAAATATAAATGCAAAATCTCTTAATCAAAGAGTTTGGGAAAACGGATTCATGTAAATCAGCCTGAAGTCTAAACACGTGTGTGTTACTGACGTGCTCATGTTCCCACATGGCACATGTTCCTAGCGTGTGATTTTTGTGTGGCATGTTTGTGAGGATGCCCATGTCCTTTCTCAGCCATGATTGGGACTCTCCATCCCAAGTCCTGGCTTCAGACCTCACATCCGTGGGCCTGAGAGAGAGGTGTCTGCCGATAGCTTCAGGCTGAGAACAGGCATATTCTGGGCCTCACCTGCCTCTAAAGCATCCTCGTCTGCCATCTGGGAGTGAGAGGTGCTCATCCTCCCACCTGTCCCTTCCTGGTGCCTGATGTCTCGCAAGAGATGTGGATCTACAGGGATGTGCAACGCTGACACTCCCAGAGAACTCCTGGGGAGCCACACCTTGCTGGGCCTAAGGGATTGTGAAATGTGCCCTCTTTTCCTTCCTTCCCTCCTTCCTTCCTTCCCTTGCCCTTCCCCTTTCTCCCTCCCTCCCTCCCTTCCTTCCTTTTTTCCTTCCTTCCTCCCTCCCTCCTTTCCTTCCTGCCTTCCTGCCTTTTCTCCTTCCTTCCCTCCCTCCCTCCTTCCTTCCTTCTTCCCTCTCTCCCTCCCTTTCTTTTTACTTTTTTTTTTTAGGGTCTGACTGTGTTACCCAGGCTGGAGTGCAGTGACATGATCTCGACTCACTGCAACCTCAACCTCTCAGGCTCTGGCAATCCTCCCACCTCAGTCTCCCAAGGAGCTGGGACTACAGGCGTCAACACCACGTCCAGCTAATTTTTGTATTATTATTATTTTTTTTTGTAGAGACAGGGTTTTGCCATGTTGCCCAGGCTGGTCTCAAACTTCTGAGCTCGAGTGATCCTCCCACCTCGGCCTCCCAAAGTGCTGGGATTATAGGCCTGGGTCACTACACTTGGCCACACTTTATTTCATAAGAATGTCTTGGAGAAACAAAAATAAAAACTCCATCATTTAAACTATGGACACCATAAAATACAGGATGCACCACAATTTCAGAAAAATGAAAGATAAAAATGCATCCTAGAATGAAATACGGCACCACTGCGCTGTAGGGACAGACTAACGCCTTTTCAGAAGAGCTGGGGAGCAACACTGGAGGTCGCCATAAGAGCAGGTGTTTGCAAATGCCACTCACGCGACGGAACCCACTGAGAACCACATCCACAGGGTATTTGAATTATGGCACAGGAGTACCATGGAATACTAGGCAGCAGTTAAAAAGGCGGAGATTGGTCTGTGTATGGTGATACAGAAAAATATTTTAAAACCTAGTTTAATGAAAACCGCCAAAAGCAAACCATGACATATACGATGCTTCCTGTTTGGGGAAAGAGATCGTGTGTGTGGCACAGCACACAAATGCAGGGGTGTCTCACGTACAGGTGCACAGCCAGGGTGTGTGTGTGGAGGAGGCTCCTGGGAGGACACTTAGGGCACCGTGGCCTTGTTATCTGGGTGGCTGAAGCTGCTTTCCCCACACGCCGCTGTGAACGCATTTGGATTCCCGAAGCTGTGCACATGTCACTTTATAACAACAATGAAACCCGCCGGTGCCGTTTTAAACAGCAGAGTTGGCTCTGTGTTCCCTCAGTGTCCCCTCAGTGTCCCCCTCAGTGTCCCCTCAGTGTCTCCCTCAGTGTCCCCTCAGTGTCTCCCTCAGTGTCCCCTCAGCGTCTCCCTCAGCGTCTCCCTCAGCGTCTCCCTCAGTGTCCCCTCAGTGCCCCCTCAGTGCCCCCTCAGTGTCTCCCTCAGTGTCCCCTCAGTGTCCCCTCAGTGTCTCCCTCAGTGTCTCCCTCAGTGTCCCCTCAGTGCCCACTCAGTGCCCCCTCAGTGTCCCCCTCAGTGTCCCCCTCAGTGTCCCCTCAGTGTCCCCCAAGTGTCTCCCTCAGTGTCTCCCTCAGTGTCCCCTCAGTGTCCCCTCAGTGTCTCCCTCAGTGTCCCCTCAGTGTCCCCGCCCCCCAGTGTCTCCCCAGTGTCCCCCTCAGTGTCTCCCTCAGTGTCTCCCCAGTGTCCCCTCAGTGTCTCCTCAGTGTTTCCTCAGTGTCCCTCAGTGTCCCCTCAGTGTCTCCTGCTCCCCTCAGTGTCTCCCCCAGTGTCCCCTCAGTGTCCCCTCAGTGTCTCCCCAGTGTCTCCCTCAGTGCTCCCTCAGTGTCCCTCCTCAGTGTCCCCCTGTGTCCCCTCAGTGTCTCCTCAGTGTCCCTCAGTGCCCTGCACCTCAGTGTCCCCCCTCAGTGTCCCCTCAGTGTCTCCCTCAGTGTCCCCCAGTGTCCCCCCAGTGTCCCCTCAGTGTCTCCTCAGTGTCCCCTCAGTGTCCCCTCTCAGTGTCCCCCCAGTGTCCCCTCAGTGTCTCCCCAGTGTCTCCCCCAGTGTCCCCCCAGTGCCTCCTCAGTGTCTCCCTCAGTGTCCCCTCAGTGTCTCCCTCAGTGCCCTCAGTGCCCCCCTCAGTGTCCCCTCAGTGTCTCCCCTCTAGTGTCCCCTCAGTGTCCCCTCAGTGTCTCCTCAGTGTCTCCCCAGTGTCCCCTCAGTGTCCCCTCAGTGTCTCCCTCAGTGCCCCCTCAGTGTCCCCTCAGTGTCTCCCTGCGTCTCCCTCAGTGTCCCCTCAGTGTCTCCCTGTGCGCCCCCTCAGTGTCCCCCAGTGTCTCCCTCAGTGTCCCCTCAGTGTCCCCTCAGTGTCTCCTCAGTGCCCTCAGTGTCTCCTCAGTGTCTCCCTCAGTGTCTCCCTCAGTGTCCCCTCAGTGTCCCCCTCAGTGTCTCCATCAGTGTCCCCTCAGTGTCCCCTCAGTGTCCCCTCAGTGTCCCCTCAGTGTCCCCTCAGTGTCTCCCTCAGTGTCCCCTCAGTGTCTCCCTCAGTGTCTCCCTCAGTGTCCCCTCAGTGCCCCCTCAGTGCCCCCTCAGTGTCCCCCTCAGTGTCCCCTCAGTGTCCCCAAGTGTCTCCCTCAGTGTCTCCCTCAGTGTCCCCCTCAGTGTCCCCTCAGTGTCTCCCTCAGTGTCTCCTCAGTGTCTCCCTCAGTGTCTCCCTCAGTGTCCCCTCAGTGTCCCCCTCAGTGTCTCCATCAGTGTCCCCTCAGTGTCCCCTCAGTGTCCCCTCAGTGTCCCCTCAGTGTCCCCTCAGTGTCTCCCTCAGTGTCCCCTCAGTGTCTCCCTCAGTGTCTCCCTCAGTGTCCCCTCAGTGTCCCCTCAGTGCTTTCTGTGGCTTTTTCTTTTCAACTTTTGGATCTCTCTGTAACAGGAAAGTGAAGCAAGGCACTGCCGGCTTTTGTTTACGATGCTTGTGGGTTTTGTGTTTGTGTCTAATCTAGAATCGGTTTCTAAATAGACTCACTTTCTGATTCTCACGGAGGGGTTTGATTTGCGGATGGAGACGGAGTCCACCCCGTTTGAATCCAGCTGCGCCCTGCTCATGCGAGCTGGCCTTGCCTTCCACACAGCAGGGCACACAGCAGGGCACACAGCAGGCGGAGAGGGAAAGCCTCTTTCCGGAAAGCCGGCTACACAGGTACTACTGCTGTGTTACGTACGCTAGCAACAGTTCTGACTTACCTTAACTGGGTTTCTTTTCCTGAAAGGTAATTCTTGGTTAATTTCCCCACACCCACGGTCCTGGGACCACGCTGCATGGATGTGTGTGACGTGAGGCCCATCACCCCGATGTGCCTGTCTCCCTGGTTCTTCTGACTTAAAGCGCCAGTAGCAACTCGGTTAGTCCAGTTATTCGGAAGCTCAGCACAGAGCTGCACTGCTGCGGCCTGCCCAGCGTAGGCGCCACAGATTCCTCCACCAGCATGGACTACACTTCCCACAAAACGAACCGGGCGTCTCTATGGAAAAAGCAAAGCGTACCCCTATCCCCGGGATACCCCTACCCCAGGACACCTGTACCCCCGGGACACTCCTACCCCCGGACACGCCTACCCCCGGACACCCCTACCCCCGGACATGCCTACCCCCGGACACTCCTACCCCTGGATACGCCTACCCCCGGACACCCCTACCCCCGGACACCCCTACCCCCGGACACCCCTACCCCCAGACACGCCTGCTCCTTGCACTGAATGAATGCCAGGGTTGTTTCCACCAAAGGGAGGCGGCCGGGGAGGGAGGCGCTGGGAAGTGGCTGGCAGGGCCCGTCCGGGAAGCCTGGACCCAACACACCTGAGAGTGGGGGTCCGTGGCGCCCGCCTGTGAAGCCCACCAGCCTCTCTTGCCAGTCCACTCACACAGGAATCCCAAGTGGGAGCATAAAGACGCCACTTCCCCCTTTCAAATCATCCCATAGGAGACGACAAAGCCCTTGGGGGTAGGGCTTGCATTCTGGATGCCCACAGAGATTCCAACCACCCAGGCTTACTGCCCCGCTGCCTCCTCTCCCTGAGGCTGGGGCTTCCCCGGGATTCCGACTCTGCCCAGGGGCGAGCCCTTTAATGAAGTCACAACAAAAAGAGAGGCCCCAGCCAAGCGGCCAAGCACAGCGATAAACGTCAGTCAACTGCTGTTTTATTCACACCAGATGTTGCACGGAAAAATCACGTCCAAATGTATTTTCAACAAGAGCAAGTGATCTCTTTTCCCAGACTCTCTGAGAGAGAACCTCATGGCAGGGACAGCGCTTCCTCGTCAGCGAGCCCGGCAGGGCAGGCGCGGAGGGGAAAGGCCTGCTCTGCATCTGGACCTGGCCCGCTAAGGCAGACCACAGAGAGACGCCGGAGCTGGCAGGAGGCCATTTAGGTTCTGGTTTTCTCCGTGAGTTGTTTCAAAAAGAGAGTGATCTTAAAATCTAGTGTGATTAAACAGGTGGGTGGGGTTAAGAGCAATGCTTGTATATGTGTCCCCCAGCTCCCAGTGTGGACCGTTTCTCTGTCCAGGCACACACAGCCCACTGTGGACATGGCGGGGGGTGGAGGGCGGGGAGGTGGCGCATCGGCCCTTGAGGGAAATGCATGCCTGGAGGTGGAGGCGGAGGCGGGACGGAGGGTCTGCAGCGGGGGCCTGCTGGAGGCCACCACAGTTAGTGTTGTTGAAGTGAGTGAGTAAACAGCATTAGCTCTGCGGCGGAATAAAATACACCGTCTGTCCGGGAGACTGCGGGTGAGTGCCACGCGTGGACGTCCGAGTGTGACAAGCCACACAATGTCAATGTGGATGGTGGTGGAGGACGGAAAATATTCCCGCAGGACAAACGGTGTATTTTATGCAACAGTTAGGATTCTGAGATTGGAAATGAGAGTTAGATGTGACCAGTCAGGCGCAGACTGCAGTGGAGCCGCACAGGGACGCCCTCACCCAGGGGGCTGCGAGAGGACACTATGGGCCCCAGGGGTGGCACTGGCTCTCTAGGGCAAAGTGGCAGAAATGGCTTTACTTCTCCTCTGTGGACAGGCGGTAGAGGGCCGCGCCCAGGTCCTCCAGCTTCTCCTTGTCCTCCAGGTCTTGGTACAAGCCTTTGGGAACGAGGTCCAGGCCATACAGCAACCCAAACAGGCAGCCTGCAATGGTGCCCGTGGCTGCGCTCTCCCCTGAAACGCAAAGGCAGCAGTCGCAGTGGGCTCCACCTGACCAGGGCTGCGAGACCCCTGGGGCTGGCCACCCCTAAGGTGGGCCAAACCCTAGTTCTGCTGGGGGCGGCTAATAAAAGGGACAGACAGGGTGGCGCCGTGGCTCACGCCTGTCATCTCAGCTACACAGGAGTCTGAGGTGGGAGAATCTCTTGAACCCAGGAGGCAGAGGTGGCAGTGAGCCAAGATTCCTCTCTGCACTCCAGCCTGAGCGACAGAGTGAGATCCTGTCTCAAAAAAAACCCCAAAGCTAACGGGAGGGGGACAGGTGCTTCCCTTCTCCCTCCCTGGGTCAGGCATCTGTGTGAAGCGGTGTTTCAGCACTAAGAGTCAGTGAGGCGCCAGGACAGTGCAGAAGGAAGGCGGAGAGAGGGGAGCCCGAGGCCACACGGTCCCACCCCTGAGCCAGGGTCACAGAGGAAACCCCTCCAGGGGCTGAGCCGGCTCTGTGCAGAGGCTTCCTGACCAAACGGGGCCACATTTGTCTTTTCCCAGCTCATGTCTGGTCAAGCTCAGCTCACTGAAGTGAGGCAATTTCAGCCAGTCTCACAGAACCTAACAGCTGCTCCCACAAGGCACGGGGTTGATCTTATGGGTAGGAGCTGCCTGGAGCTGCCACAGCCACTCTGCTGGGCTTCGTCCTCTCCCTCCATGGCCAGAGACGGCCTGGGTGGCACAGAGCCAGCATGAATGGAGCAGGATGCGAGCCCAGGACCTAACTCCAGGCGGCAGTCTGCAACTTTGCACAGAGGCTGCAGAGCAAAGGACAAGACGACAGTGACCTCGGAACAGAACCCTGCGAAGGTGGCCAGCCTGAGGCAGCAGTGGCAAGGGTAGGAGCCTCCATACCCCTACACCCCACCTACTCCAAGGCCGCACTGCCCTCCAGGCTCGTGGACCAGGCGAGAGACTCTTGGTCTGCTGGAGCTCACGGCAGGACCTGCAGTCACACCTGTATCCTGTGACGTCTGCACATGAGTGCACGTACGTCAGCCGGTGTACCCTGGAGCCTGCGCCCTCCCAAAGCGGTTCCAGAAAGGAAGAGAAGGACGCATATGCTGGGGCTCAGGAAGTGGTGCCTGAATGCCTGCCATCCTAGGACACTCCAAGGGGGTGCTTCAGGAGAAGGGCGCTACCCTCCTGGAAGCCACGGCCATTAAGGAACATCTCACCTCCATGAAACATGGCCCGGTGACACAGCTCAGTCCAGTTGTTGCCTGCTGCAAGGAGGGCATCATAGGCTATCATGGGGGCATCATGGCCTCGTCTTCCCCCTCGACCTTCCGAGCTCCACTTCCTGTAGGTCTGACAAGAGAGCCGTGGGTCAGGGGCATGTGCCCAAGTGGAGCCACTTCTGGGTACATTACAGCACAAGCTTCCTGGGCCCATCCTAGTGAACTGCCATTCCATCCACCCACCCTTTTCTTTTTGAGATCGAATCTGGCTCTGTCGCCCAGGCTGGAGTGCAGGATGCGATCTCAGTTCACTGCAACCTCTGCCTCCCGGGTTCAAGCGATTCTCCTGCCTCAGCCTCCCGAGTAGCCGGGATTACAGGCGCACGCCACCACACCTGGCTAATTTTTTGTATTTTTAATAGAAACAAGATTAGTCACCCACCCACCCACCCATCTATTCACCCATCCATTCATCCATCCACCCATCCATTCACCTGTCGACCCATCCACCCACCCATCTATTCACCATCCACTCATCCATCCACCCATCTGTTCATCCATTCACCCACCCATTTATCTACCCATCCATTCACTCACCCTTCCACCACCCACCCACCCATACATTCACCCATCCACTTATCCATCCACCCACCCACCCATCCATTCACCGGTCCACTCATCCATCCACCTATCCATTCATCCATTCACCCACCCATTTATCCATTCACCCACCCATTTACCTACCCATTCATTCACTCACCCTTCCACCACCTTCCCACCTACCCATCCATTCACCCATCCACCCACTCATCCACTCATCCATCCACCCATCCATTCATCCATTTACCCATCCATTTACGTACCCATCCATTCACCCACCCTTTTACCTACCTGCCCTTCCATCCACCTAATCAACCATCCATCCATATACCCACGCACCCACCCACGCACCCATCCATATACCCACCCACGCACCCATGCACCTATCCATTCATCCATTCACCCACCCTTCCACCCACCCACGCTTCTCTTCATCCATCTATCCATCCACCCACCTACCCACCCATCCACCCACTTGCTATGCACTTATTGAGCACCGCTGGTGTGCAGACATTGCTCCAGTGCCAGGACAAGGCTCACCTTTTCCCTCTCCTCTGCGTCATAATTGTCGGGGAAGATGGCTTTATTTTCTGAGTCTTTACTGATTTTCCTCTCCTCCAAATAAAACTGCCATTTAGCTTCAAAGTAAAACCAGTGCTCCTGGTATTCTAAACATAAAGAACAGGGCGAGCTGAACACAATGGCATCCATGGAGTGGGGCGGAGGGCCCTGGGGCGGGTACAGGGAGGGAGGGGACGTGTCGATGCCCCTCTACCCAGCTGCAGGCATGTGGAGAAGCGGAGCACCTGTCCTGGGGTAAACCACTGAGCGACTGTCCAGAATTATGAACATGCTGACGTTTGTAGCTGCTTTCTTTTTTTTTTTTTTTTGAGACGGAGTCTCGCTCTGTTGCCCTGGCTGGAGTGCAGTGGTGCAACCTCAGCTCACTGCAACCTCTGCCTCCCGGGTTCAAGGGATTCTCCTGCCTCAGCCTCCCGAGTAGCTGGGATTACAGGCACCCACCACCACATCCGGCTAATTTTTGAATTTTTAGTAGAGACGGGGTTTCACCATGTTGGCCAAGCTGATCTCGAACTCCTGACCTCAGGTGATCCACCCATCTTGGCCTCCCAAAGTGCTGGGATTACAGGCGTGAGCCACCGCGCCCAGCCTCTTTTTTTCTTTTCTTTTTTTTGAGACAGAGTCTTGCTCTGTTGCCCAGGCTGGAGTGCATTGGCGCCATCTTGGCTCACTGAAACCTCCACTTCCCAGGTTCAAGCCATTCTCTTGCCTCAGCGTCTTGAGTAGCTGGGACTATAGGCACCCGCCACCATGCCTGGCTAATTTTTGTATTTTTAGTAGATATTGGCCAGGCTGGTCAATTCCTGACCTCAGGTGATCCGCCCGCCTCAGCCTCCCAAAGTGCTAGGATTACAGGTGTGAACCACCACGCCCGGCCTGTAGCTGCTTTGAAAGGACAGCAAGCAAGATGGAGATGGGGCAAAAGCATTTTCATTACATTGTTGCATTAGTCCTGTGCCTGCAGAGCAGGGCAGGATGTTTCATTACTCCTAATTGAAATCCAAGCCCCTGAATGCTCTAGGGACTTCTTGGAGGTCATCTGGCAAAGAGGACACGGACTCAGAAGGGAGTCTGAACCTGCAGCCACACACCCTACAGACCACAGGAAATCCCTTCCCCACCGTGGAGCCAGGAGGCGTGCAGGCTGCCCAGACCCAGGCCCGCTGCCCTCCTGCCTGCCTTACGGTGAGCACCCCTGTCCGCTACATCCCACCTCCTGCTCCCTGGCACCACGGGAGCCACAGAGGGCGGGAGCTGTGCAGGCCGCTGGTGGCTGTCAGGCCCAAGGGACACGTGTGCTGATCACATGCGGTGACAGCACAGATCCTGTCTGCCTGGCTGTGGTTGGAGGGCACAGGGCGCTGGAGAGCAGAGCTGGAGGGCTGCAGCGGGGAGGCCACGCTCCTGCCACAGAGCTCCAGGCCACAGGGAGGCCAGGAGGGCCCTGGACCAGGCCCTGGATGAGGCTCACAGGTACCCGCGACTCACAGGTCCTCCGAAACTCTGGGCCAACTTGGTCTCACACAAGTAAAAGTTCAGCCCCCTTAGGGTCTTGTTCAGCGACATGAAATTGGAAGTGAAAGATGCAAAAGTAAGAGGGCAGTGGCCACAGGCACATCCCATGAACCCGCAGGGCCTGAAACTCCGGGTGGAGCGTCAACATGGACCTGGGCGCAAGCTCAAAGCACTGCCTCTCACCCGAGTCAGTGGGGTTGGCCAATTCGGAAACAGATGTCCAGACACAAAAGGAGGGAGCTAATTTGTGAACTGTCCTCACTGCGGAGGGGTCATGTCAGGTGGGCCGGCCAGAAGCCCAGAGCAGCGTTTCTGTCCAGTGGACTTAAATCTGGGTGATTTTAAAAACTGGATGATTTTAGATGTTCTGTTAAAAAGGTTTCTGTGTCAAGGAAATTCATAAAACTCTGGGTTAAACAAATTTGAAATGAAATAGCTTTATTTGGAGGACTGTTTCTCAGAGCTTTAAACTGGTGTCTCTGCATTTCAAATCCCTAAGAGAAAGAATAAAGCTTTCTGAAGAACAGTCAGAAACATTCCATGAACACAAAGGGGAGGAGGTTTTGCTGGTCAGATAATTCCGACTGTTCTTCAGAGAATGCTTTGAGGAAGACTGTTTTGAATACCAGAGTTCTGGGAGAACATTTGTTAATACTCTGTGAATTCAGTCATGGCGTGGCCCCATGCCTCACTGCTCACCCGTTTCTAAGGTGGGTCAGGGCAACGCTCCTGGGGTTAGGGAGATGACTTAGCCCCGGCTCCAAACAGCCACCTCAGCTGGAAAGAACCTGGGACCACAGGTTTGGCCATCTCCCACCGCTCCCACACCAAGGGGTAACAGAGACGAAATCACCAGAGATAAAGTGTGTGCCGTGGTCTGCCAGGCGTGCTCAGTGGTCATGCTTCCTGAGGACAGCCAGGCCGCGGGGAACACAGAGCAGCGACTCAAGGAGGTGGTGACTGTGTGTGGATGCTGACCTTGCTCCCCCATCAGCACAGGCCTGGTGGCTGAGCGGCCCCCGAGCCACGTCCAGGCTGCACCCCGATGGAAAGCTGTGTACCAGCCCCCACGAGGCATTTCAGAACATGCCCCTGTGCCTTGCAGGGGAAATAAAGGGATTCACTGGTTTTTCTGTTCCTGGAAGACTTCAGACCAGGAGAGGTGGCTCACGCCTGTAATCCCAGCACTTTGAGAGGCCGAGGCGGGAGGATTACTTGAAGTCAGAAGTTTGACACCAGCCTGGGTGACATGGGGAAACCCTGTCTCTACTAAAAATAAAAAAAAATAGCCAGGCAAGGTGGCAGGCACTTGTAATCCTAGCTACTCGGGAGACTGAGGTCGGAGAATCGCTTGAACCTGGGAGGCGGAGGTTGTAGTGAGCTGAGATTGCACCACTGCACTCCAGCCTGGGCGACAGAGCCAGATTCCATCTCAAAAAAATAAAAAAAAAAAATAGAGAAGACTTCAGCTGAGGCTGTTTTGAAAACTAAGCAAACCTGATCCTACATTCAAATCCTCCCTCTCCTTCTCCAGGACACACTGGATACCTTATTTCCAATTTCCTCAACAACGCAAGGATGCCAAAGGCTGCGTGAAGCTGCCTGTGCTCCCCGTGCCGCCCCCTCCCCTCTTAGACGGCACCTGCCGTGGGGTAGAAGAACCTTCCGGAAGGGTCATGGATGTCCTAGCCCCACACCTGCTGTCCCTGCCTCTGGCCGGCCTCATGGGGCTTCTGAGGGAAGGGCCCAGCCCTGACCTCACCCAGACCGGCAGAAGCAGAGCTTTCCCAGGGCGCACCGCGGGTCCCACTCACATCCCAAAGGCTGCCAGTCACTTGGCGCCTCGGACTGGGGTGGACGGGGACGGGTGGATCCCCTGGAGGCAAATGTCCCCGGCGGGCACAGGTCTCTCTGAGGCTCCGGGTGGGGAGGCAAAGCCCTCCCAGGTCAGGGCAGAGGCAGACTGGTCGGGAGCAGCATGGGGCCTGCCTTGTGAGGCCGGCTCTGCTCACATGGCCCGGACGGGGCCCTCCCAGTTCCGTCTAAGAGTGAAAGTGCCTTGAAGTATTTGGGGGCCGACAGAGGGGCTGAATCTGCCCAGGTGCTCCGAGTGTGGACTGGGGCCGGGGGAGGGCTCACCTGCCGTGTGCCGGATGGTCTTCCTGCAGTACTCTTCTGCCAGGGGTACTGCCCGGAGCATGTCTCTCCCCCACTGGACCAGCGGCTTTCCTTGTGCGGCGAACGACACAAACAGGGCCGTGCACAGGGAGCCCAGGAAGCCTGCAGGGGCGGGGAAGAGAGAGGGCACCGTCACCTGGGCCACCCGCCACGCTGTGTGGGACCCCCGAGGGAGGGTTTGCTCGTGTTCCATCTTTCCCATGCTCAGGTGCACAGTTTGGCGGCACTAACCACGTTCACACTGGATGTCCTGCATCCTCTCTAGAACTCCCCATCTTCCCAAACCGTAGCTCTGCCCCCACCCCACTCACCCCACTGCCCTCCCCAGGCCCTGGCCGCCCTCATCGACTTTTCTGTCTCTGGATGTGACCGCTCTGGGTGCCTGCTCCTCGTGGAACCACACGCGATTTGTCCCTCTGTGGTGGGCGTATTGCACTCAGCACGCATCCGCAGGTTCACCCGCGTGGCTTGCCATGGCTTCCCTTCCTCTCCGTGGCTGCATTGTATTCTGTGCGTGGATGAACACATTTTGATTACCCGTCATCTGTGTGTGGCTGCATGGGCCGCCTCTGCCTTTGGCTGTTGGGAACACCGCGTCAGGTAGACCATTAGCATCTGTGGCCGGGGATTATCAGTTAATGAGCCTGTGCAGGAGGAAGGCTGAGGTGGGGGCTCTCCTGACTCGAGGGAGACCCTGCAGAGCTCTGGGGCCATTGTGTACACTCAGGCGCTTCGTGTGCAGGGCTGACTCCTGCGCCCTGCTGGTGCTTGGGGCTTTTCTCGTCTGACTTCTGGGTGTGCATTAGCGGCCGGCAAGCTCATCAGCACAGACAAGCTGAGAGCCCACTTTATAGGCTCTGTCTCCCTTATTTTCTTTGGTATGTCAAATTTTACAACCGTTTACTGAAAAAGAAACGCATGTGAGAGAGTGTGTGTGTGTATGTGTATAAAACATATATATATTTAATAAAACACGGTTAAGGAAGAAGTTAAGTCCGGGAGGCTTGTCCTGGTCCATCTTCCAGGGCTGTGGGGAAAGATGGGGCCAGGGGCTTCTGGGGTCCTGAGCTCACCCCACAGTCCACACAGCCAGCCCTGCACTTCACGGAGCAGGTGGCACTGGGTGTGCAGCTCTCAGGGAATAGGGCCACGTCTGGCCCTGCCAGGCTCCCATCCATCTGCTACACTGGCCTCATTAGACGCTAGTGTGGGAGCCATCAGACAGGAGCTCGGAAGAGACTGATCTTAATTATCTGAATTATTCACAATGATCCTGGCCATGATGAGGCTAACAATGCCCGGGGCTGGCAGGACAGTCCTGGAAATCCTGTGGTCACTGTCTGGGTGGAGACAGCCCTGGAGAGGCCGCCTCTTCCAAAGACATGAGCTCTCTCCTCTCACTGCCAGCCGCTGTGGGTCAGTAGTGGCAGGAGGCGAAGGGACGGCCATGGTACTCGTGATGTGGTTTCAGAGATGCAGTCGTGTGGGAGGACCAGTGATGCCATGGTGACAGTACCAGTAGCAGCAGCAACAATGATGGTACTCGTGACAGTCACAGTGGGAACAGTGTGGGGCCAGCGACTGCAGCAGTGGTTGTCTTACTAGTGACAGTATCATGTGGAGGCACCGGTGGTATCAGCAGTGACAGGACCAGTAGCAGCAGCCACAGTGGAGATGGCAGTACGGGTGATAAAAGCGGAGTGGTGACAAAAGGCGGGGGTGGCAGTGGCACAGTGGCGGTGGTGGCAGCGGCACTAGTGGCGGCAGCAGTGGCAGTAGTGGTGGCAGTGGCACTAGTGGTTGCGGCGGCAGTGGTACTAGTGGTGGCAGTGGCAGTGTTGCTAGCAACAGCAGCAGTAGGGATGGTGCGGTGCTGCTGATAGGAGCAGCCGAGGCCGTGGCAGTAGTTCAGTGTGAGTGGCCATGCAGAGGAGCAGTAGCCCCTGTGTGCCCAGCCCTCATCCCACTGGGCACTGCTCCCAGGGTGTCATCGTGCCACTCAGTCCTCACGAGAGCCTGTGAAGGGCATGGCGATCGCCCTCTTGTGGACGAGGCGTGTGGGGCTGAGAGGTTGTGTTGCTTGGTTTTGGAGCCATGTTAGCTTCAGAGGGGTCGGTTCTGCTGCAGACCCTGTGGGTGTGAGGCCCACACCCACCCAGGAAAGGGGCGAGCCCACTGTCACGGCGCCATTGGCCAGAGGCAGGCTCCAGGGTGGGTGCCGTGTGTGTTCTGATGTTCCACTTCTCTGTACACCGGGGCTGTGACACCCGCCCTACCGGGGCTGTCGTGGGGAAAAGATGACCCTAAATCCAGGCTGGGCCACGGTGAATGGCCACTCAACACGGCTGCTGTGTGGAGCACAGTCGCCCATGACATGCCATGCAGAGACGGGCCGCAGAGACAGGCTGTAGAGACACTTTCCAGCAGCTGTCGGGCCACTCTTGAAGGCACTAATCAGGGCCTCCCTTGGCCCAGCGGGAGGGCTGCAGCAGCGGCAAGAGTCTATGAATCGTTCTCAAGCCCAGGGCTCTGGGCCGGTCCTGTCCCTGCCTACAGCTCTGCCTCTGCCCAGGGACACTGCAGCTCTGGGCTCATGGGAGCACGCAACGCACACTGTAACACAAACTGTGGTTCTTGCTGCCAGAAATGGTTTGAAAATGGAAAAGGGAGTAGAGTTAAAAAGCACTTTGAAGTGTCAATTTCATAAAATCAAACCCTTAAAATATTTTTGGTCATTATTATAGAAATATATAAATTATTCATCTATTAAACATGTGAAATGGATTTTTTTTTATTTTTATTTTTTGAGATGGAGTCTCATTCTGTCACCCAGGCTGGAGTGCAATGGCACGATCTTGGCTCACTGCAACCTCCGCCTCCCAGGTTCAAGTGATTCTCCTACCTCAGTCTCCTGAGTAGCTGGGATTACAGGCATGTGCCACCATGCCCAGCTAATTTTTGTATTTTTTAGTGGAGACGAGGTTTCACCATGTAGGCCAGGCTGATCTTGAACTCCTGACCTCAGGTGATCTGCCTGCCTTGGCCTCCCAAAGTGCTGGGATTACAGGCGTGAGCCACTGCGCCTGGCCGTGAAATGATTTTTAAAATATGAGTAGGAAATATATTAGCAAATGTTTTAGAAATTTAAATTATTAACACAGATTCTTGTGCTCATTACATTGTTTTCAAATGTCCAACTTTTTTTTTTGTTTTTGAGATAGGGCCTTGCCCCTTCGCCCAGGCTGGAGTGCAATGGCGCAAACACAGCTCACCGCAGCCCTAACATGCTGGGCTCAGGCGATCCTCTCACCTCAGTAGCTGGAACCACAGGTGCCACCACGCCCGGCTAGTTTTTAATTTTTTTGTAGAGATGGAGTTTCCCTGTGTTGCCCAGGCTGGTCTCCTACTCCTGGGCTCAAGCGATCCTCCTGCCTCTGCCTCCCAAAGTGCTTGGATTACAGGTGTGAGTCATTGCACCTGGCAAATGCCCAACATTTTTGGGTCTGAAGGTTTTAAATTTTTTTTTTTTTTTGAGACGGAGTCTCGCTCTGTCGCCCAGGCTGGAGTGCAGTGGCGCAATCTCGCCTCACTGCAAGCTCTGCCTCCCGGGTTCCCGCCATTCTCCTGCCTCAGCCTCCCGAGTAGCTGGGACTACAGGCGCCGCCACCTCGCCCGGCTAATTTTTTGTATTTTTAGTAGAGACGGGGTTTCACCGTGTTAGCCAGGATGGTCTCCATCTCCTGACCTAGTGATCTGCCCTCCTCGGCCTCTCAAAGTGCTGGGATTACAGGCGTGAGCCACTGCGCCCGGCCTTACTTTTTAATTTGCGTCCGGTTGCACCACTCAGCTAGCAGGAGTCCAGCAGTGCTCCCTTCTCGGCATCTGACTCTGCCCCACCGGTTGGTCACATGCCTGTGCGTCCATCGCTTAGGCTGCCTGTCCCCAGGGTAGTAAAGACATGCGCCTGCTTCGCTGCAGACGCGGTGGGGTGGGATGGCCAGGCCGGCAGAGCTGCGTGTTGATCCAAGGTGGGTTGCTCATTGCTGTTCTCGGGGAGGTGTGGGCGGCTCTGCCCTCCTCGTTGGGAGGCCGGTCACAGCAGATACCAAAAGGTAATCCTGAACGAGGCCAGCATGGCTGTTGGACGTGTGGGACTGGGCGGTGCCAAGACTAAGGGCCAGTTGCAGGTCAGGAGTTTTGAGTTGTTTTTGCTTTTTTTAAATGGAAGCCAACCGAGTCGCCTCCTCATTGCCTTTCAAAGTCACTCGTTAGGTGCTACCGCAGCCACCCTAGCCTGGCCTCTCAGAGGCCTGCCCTCCACAGGATGGACGGGACGGGGACAAACCCCAGTGAGCAGCTGGCCACCTGGCACAGACCACAAGGAAGGAAGTGCCGTGTGAAGGCGGCGACATGATCCAACCCGCTTCATCCTCACACAGCCCGATTTGCGCGTGTGATTCACGTAGGGCGTAGGGCGGTCGCCCCATTACAGGTGAGAAGCCTGCGGCCCGGGGGGTGGAGCCGTTCTCATGGTTCCCGTGGTCCCCTTGGCTCCCTTGGCTGGTGGGTGGTGGAGCCAAACCAGGGCACAGCAAGAAAATGCAGGAAATACTGTACAAACCCTGGTTCCCAGCATCACCCCGATCCCACCTGTACCCAGGCACTGGTGCGTTTCTTTTTCTTTTGTTCCGACACAAATGATACCAAAACCACTGAGAATTCTTTCCCTAGCAGAATTCTTTCCCTAGCAGTTTCTTCAACATCACCACACTTACCGCTAATCCTGCTTTTGGGTTGAAAACAGACCTTAAGCAAAGCAGATTGAAAAATAAGCCAACTCCCTCAACAAATCAAAAAACCGATGTGATCCCACGAGATTTCCAGCCCAGTGTCCCGGGCAGGGCACCCTCCCAGCAGGTACCCGGCAGGTGCAGGGTCGGTGTCTGTCTCCTTTAAGCAGCGCAGAAGGTGGTAGCTCCAGGCCCCGCCCCCGCCCCGGCCCCGCCCCTCGCTCACCTGTGGGATGGTTGTGGGTCATCCGGCCGCACTCCACGCTGACCTCAATGAGGGTCTCCAGCCGCTCGGGCTTCCAGTACCGCAGGCCGATGCACATGGCCTTGGTGGCCGCTCCAAACCCTGAGCCTGCGCGGAGAAGGAAGAGCTGGTTTAGAATTCTGCTCCAATAATTCCACCCCGACAATCGAGCTTTCATGAATAATTTTAAAAGTGTAAAAATTTGCATAATAACATGTTCATCAGAGCGTGGTTTAAATGAGTGAGCTATCGGCAGGCCACTCAAGTGCCTGCAGCAGAAAGGAGATGGGGGAATTCGGTGGCATCCAGGTATCGGGTGTCACTTAGTCACTAAAAACAGAACGTTTGAAGGCCCGGAGATATGCTCATGATATGCAGCACGCTTTCAATGAGATGTTTTCCCTGTAAAAACAGCTTCATTGAGTTATAACTACATACAACAAACTAGGCACAATGAAATATGCACGATCCTAAGATTTTTACATAGGTGCACCCCCGGGACCCAGTGCCCAGGCCCAGAGTGAACACAGGTGTATCCCCAGGACCCAGCGCACAATGAAATATGCACGTATCCTAAGATTTTACAGGCACTGGGACTCCAGCGCCCAGGCCCAGAGTGAACACAGGTGTATCCCCAGGACCCAGCACCCAGGCCCAGAGTGAACACAGGTGTATCCCAGACCCAGCGCCCAGGCCCAGAGTGAACACAGGTGTATCCCTGCGAGTGACCCAGCGCCCAGGCCCAGAGTGAACACACAGGTATCCCCAGGACCCAGCGCCCAGGCCCAGAGTGAACACAGGTGTATCCCCAGGACCCAGCGCCCAGGCCCAGAGTGAACACAGGTGTATCCCCAGGACCCAGCGCCCAGGCCCAGAGTGAACACAGGTGTATCCCCAGGACCCAGCGCCCAGGCCCAGGTGAACACAGGTGATCCCCAGGACCCAGCGCCCAGGCCCAGGTGAACACAGGTGTATCCCCAGGACTCCAGCGCCCAGGCCCAGGTGAACACAGGTGTATCCCCAGGACCCAGTTCAGGCCCAGGGTGAACACAGGTGTATCCCCAGGGACCCAGCGCCCAGGCCCAGGGTGAACACAGGTGTATCCCCAGGACTCCAGTGCCCAGGCCCAGGTGAACACAGGTATCCCCCAGGACCCAGCGCCCAGGCCCAGGTGAACACAGGTGTATCCTCAGACCCAGCGCCCAGGCCCAGGGTGAACACAGGTGTATCCCCAGGACCCAGCGCCCAGGCCCAGGGTGAACACAGGTGCCTGAGAATTATGATGCCTGTGTCGGGCCTTGTGAGTTTGGATTTATTGATTTTCTTTGTCAGGAACTGGATTCTCCTGGTTCTTTGCATGCCTCATAGGCTATGGAGTCCTGGATATTTTTATATTCCTATAACTATTCTTGACCTTTGTCTTGGGATACAGTTAATTTACTTGAAAATAGTTTGGTCTTTCTGGGTTCTGCTTTTAGGATTTAAGTCTTGGCTGGGTGTGGTGGCTCATGCCTGTAATCTCAGCACTTGGAGACTGAGGTGGGCAGATCGCTTGAGCTCAGAAGTTCAAGACCAGCCTGGGCAACATGGTGAAACCCCTTCTCTACAAAAAAAAAACCAAAATATTAACTGGATATAGTGGCATGCACCTGTGGTCCCAGCCACTCAGGAGGCTAAGGTGTGAGGATTGCTGGAGTCTGGGAGGTCAAGGCTGCAGTGAGCCATAGCTGCACCACTGCACTCCAGCCTGGGTGATGGAGTGAGACCCTGTCTACCAAAAAATAAAAATAAATGATTTTTTTTTTTTTTAAATTTAAAGCTCGGCTGGGCATGGTGGCTCACACCTGTAATCCCACCACTTTGGGAGGCCAAGGCAGGTGGATCATCTGAGGTCAGGAGTTCAAGACCAGCCTGAGCAACATGGTGAAACTCCATCCTTACTAAAATACAAAATTAGCAGGGCATGGTGGCGGGCATATGTAATCCCAGCTACTCAGGAGGCTGAGACAGGAGAATTTGCTGAATCCAGGAGGCAGAGGTTGCAGTGAGCCAAGATCACGCCACTGCACTCCAGCGTGGGTGACAGAGCAAGACTCCATCTCAAAAAAAAAAAAAAAAAAAAATTTAAAGCATGCTTTTCAATAGATACCATTAAGAAAACAAAAAAGCAAGGCATCCAAGGGGAGAAAATATTTATAATATATAGAGCTGACAAAGGATTTGTATCCAAAATATATAAAGGACACTTGGCATTCAGTAATAAGCACAGCTGGGATGAGCCAGACACACTGGTCTGCATTTTGTTTTCTTCACTCATCCACGACAGAGGTGGTCCCACGCCTCAGGACACATTAATCCCACTTCACTCTTTTTAATGGCTGCGTAGTATTCCATCATATGGATGTGCCGCAGTCAGTTTCACCATTCTCCTACCGAGGGACACTAGGCTGTTCCAGGTTTTGCTAATATAAACGATGGGGCAGAGAGCATCTCTGTCCATGTATCTTTGCTCCCTTGCTTTTGTATATCACCATCATGGGCCTTTAGAATTTCTGGGAGTAGAAGTGCCAGATCAAAAAGCATGTTCATTAAATCATTTTGACAGGTAATGACAGATTTCCCTCTCGAGAGGTCATACTGTCCTTACCCTTGTCCAGCAGGAAGCCGTGTGCCTTCTGCACCACAGAAGAGCTGGCACCAAGGCTTTTGCGGCTGGTGATCTACTTCTGCTCAAACTGCCCCTTCCACGTGCCCAGAGCAGGTTCCTCTTGGGAATGGGGCTGCCAGAGCAGCTCACCTGGTCTTACCCTCTCTCCGTGGCTTTCTGGGGATACCTGCGTCTCTGCTACTCTGTCAGGAACACAGGTTGTCTCAGAAACCCCTCTAGCCTGTGGGCATTTCCTCTTCTGTCTACTAATGAGTCCAAGTTCTCCAGCTTGAAAGAGCCTTCTGGGGAGGGATTATACAAGAAGTGGGGCTCATCACTGCGGTACTGACGACACAGCAAGTCGGCCACCACCCACATTTCAAGGATAAGCATGGAGGACACAGGGCCAGGACTAGAGAAGCAGAGGCTCTTTGGAGGCAGACACTGGGGCCACCCAAATACAGCTCCACCAGAAACACATCAAAGTGTTTTAGAGACATTCATGCAGACCGCAGAAGCCATCATTGATGTGGTAACAGAAAAGACCAACTTAAAGGGAAAACAGTGGGAAACATCTCTTTTTTTTTTTTTTTTTTTTTTTTTGAGACGGAGTCTCACTCTGTCACCCAGGCTGGAGTGCAGTGGCCGGATCTCAGCTCACTGCAAGCTCCGCCTCCCGGGTTCACGCCATTCTCCTGCCTCAGCCTCCCGAGTAGCTGGGACTACAGGCACCCGCCACCTCGCCCGGCTAGTTTTTTGTATTTTTTTTTAGTAGAGACGGGGTTTCACCATGTTAACCAGGATGGTCTCGATCTCCTGACCTTGTGATCCGCCCGTCTCGGCCTCCCAAAGTGCTGGGATTACAGGCTTGAGCCACCGCGCCCGGCCGGAAACATCTCTTAAAGGAAACTGGCAGTGGGTGACAACAGCCCTATGGGGAAGCCTGGTGCCACGTGACGGGTGCTTCTTAAACAGACGCCCGCGCTGGCCGGGCCGACCGGGAGGGGCCACTGCCTGTGTTCCTTAAACAGACGCCCGTGCTGGCTGAGCTGACCAGGAGGGGCCCCCGCCCAACAAAGGGACTCTTGGCTGATCTGGCCCCACTGAAGCCACCTGGAGATGCTGGGGGCTAGTGGAAGAGAGACGGTTAGGACCGCAGGGTCCCCACTGAAGCCACCTGGAGATACTGGGGGCTAGTGAAGGACAGACGGTCAGGACCGCAGGGTCCCCACTGAAGCCACCTGGAGATGCTGGGGGCTAGTGGAAGTCAGACTTAGGGACCGAGGGTCCCCACTGGAGCCACCTGGAGATATTGGGCTAAAGGACAGACGGCTGACCGCAGGTCCCTGGGAGATGGGGCTAGTGGACAGAGGTACTTGTTAGCCACCGCAGGGTCCCCACTGAAGCCACCTGGAGATGCTGGGGGCTAGTGGAAGAGAGACGGTTAGGACCGCAGGGTCCCTACTGAAGCCACCTGGAGATACTGGGGGCTAGTGGAAGAGAGACGGTTAGGACCGCAGGGTCCCTAGCCGGGTGGCTTTAGGGGGCAAGGAGAGGATTTCTCTGACCCTTTTCGTTGAACGGTGTGTGCCAGGCGAGGAGGTAGTTATTGGGCTTCAGCTGAGCGCAGCCTTCAATGGTAGCTGGGTCTGGCCGGCGTTCTGGAAGCTTCTCAACGATTTCCACATAGCACCTCACCATCTCCCGGTACAGATCATCCAGGCACCAGTAGTCTGGGGAAGAAAGGGGAGGGCAGACATCAGAGCCAGCTGTGGTGTGAGCTGTGGCCTCCCTCCCGCGGGCTCGGGCAGGCTCCCCACAGGCTCAACATCCGAGGCCACAGCCCCAGCGAGCCTCTGGCAGGGAATAGGCATACCGGCATCTTCAGAGAGGCGGAGAAGGGTTTGGGGATCCGTCCTGCACAGCCCTGGTTGCCGAGGGCCATTGAACATGCAGACAAACAGTTCACCTGAGATTTCGTTCTGATTTCAGGCCTTCTAGTTTGTTGTTACACTTGTTATTCTAGTCACACGTGGGAATCGAGAAAAGACCCACCACGCTCATTTTCTTTTCTTTTCTTTTCTCTTTTTTTTTTGAGATGGAGTCTCACTCTGTCGCCCAGGCTGGAGTGCAGTGGCGCGATCTCGGCTCACTGCAAGCTCCGCCTCCCGGGTTCCCGCCATTCTCCTGCCTCAGCCTCCTGAGTAGCTGTGACTACAGGCGCCCGCCACTGTGCCCGGCTAATTTTTTGTATTTTTAGTAGAGACGGGGTTTCCCCGTGTTGGCTAGGATGATCTCGATTTCCTGACCTCATGATCCGCCTGCCTCGGCCTCCCAAAGTGCTGGGATTACAGGTGTGAGCCACCGCGCCCAGCCCCACCGGGCTCCTTTTCTAGCGGTTGTTTCCATGTGGCCACAAACAGAACTGAAACCGGCCCATTCCATGGGCTTGTGACGCAGACGGTGGAGGCCGATGTGCCCGGCTCCGGCTCGGTCTTCTCTTGCTGGAAACCCGGGTACAAGAGGGACAGCTGCCGCCAAGCAGCATCCCCAGCCCCAGAAGCTCCGGAAACAAGGGTGGGCTCGAGGCCCTGAAAGACCCTGGGGCACGAGGGCGAAGGAGCTGGACACAGCAGACACCCGCCCTATGCCCAGCACCCGGGAGGCCCAGACATCCTCCCACAGCAAGGGCTGGCTCTTATTTGCCGTTTTCCCTGATAAGGCTCAGTGAGCCTATGTGTCTTGCCCAAGGCCAGAGCTGGCAAATGTGTTGCCGGCAAAGCCCGAGCACTTCTGTGATGAAGTAGCCTGCAGTGTGTGGATGGAGTCCACACAGCCTCTGAAACCAGAGCCCGGGCGCCCGGCCATGCCAGGACAGGCTGTGGCAGGCGGATGCCCACCGAGGTGGGACTGGCGAGGGTGCCCCTCCCGACGGCCACTTTAACACCCAGCAGCTTGTTTTCATTCCGTACTAAAACTGCACTCTGGGCTTGCGGGTCAGCCCTGGGAGACGCCACTGCTCCCTTTTCCTTGGTGATGAATCCCCCACCTTGGGGAGGGGAAGGGTGGCAAGGAATGGGGAGAAGGAGGCAAAGACGGAGGCTTGGCCCACCCTTCATGGGGCAGAAATGGCACTTGGAAGCAAAAGACCTTCCCGCTGGTGGCTGGGGTCTTCCTCAGCCGCATCAGAGCCAGATGTCCCAGCACGGATGGGTGGTGAGATTAGGAAGGGCACTTGGCAAAGTCACTCCCTCCTCGAGGACACGAAACCTCTGCCGCTGCAAACCCCCGGAGAGAGCGTGCAGGGACCCCGGCAGCTGCAAACCCCCAAGAGAGAGTGTGCAGGGCCCCCTGCGGCTGCAAACCCCAAACCCCTGGAGAGAGCATGCAGGGCCCCCGGCAGCTGCAAACACCCCAACTCCCAGAGACAGCGCACAGGATCCTGAGGCTGCAAACTCCCAGAGAGAGCACTTGGGGCCCAGCGGCTGCAAACCCTACAGAGAGCATGCGGGACCCAGCGGCTGCAAACCTCCTCTCCTCTCACCACAGAGAGAGCGCACAGGGCCCCGCAGCTGTGAACCCCCCCAGAGAGCACTCAGGGCCCTGCAGCTGAAACCCCCCAGAGACAGCGCGCAGGGCCCCATAGCTGTGAACCCCCCCAGAGAGAGTGTGCAGGGCCCCGTGGCTGTGAAGCCCCCAAAGAGAGAGGGCTTCTGTGGCTGCAAACCCCCAGAGAAGTGCTCAGGACAAGGACTCCATGTTGTGTCCTCCTACCACCATTTCCCTGACCCAGCCCAGCAGAGGCCTCTGAAGAGTGAGGGGCAGTCCCGGGAGGCATGGCCGGCTGGGCTGTGCATGGTGTTGTCCACATGCACAGTGTTGTCATATGGGCACAGCACTGTCTACACTCACAGCCTTGTCTACACTCACAGCGTTATCTATACTCACAGCCTTGTCTACACTCACAGCCTTGTTTACACTCACAGCGCTGTCCACACTCACAGCGCTGTCTACACTCACAGTGCTGTCTACACTCACAGCACTGTCTATACTCACAGCGCTGTCTACACTCACAGCACTGTCTACACTCACAGCGCTGTCTACACTCACGGTGCTGTCTACACTCACGGCACTGTCTACACTCACGGCGTTGTCTACACTCACAGCTCTGTCTACACTGACAGCGTTGTCTATATTCACGGTGTTGTCTACATGGCATTGTCTACACTCACAGCGCTGTCTACACTCACAGTGCTGTCTACACTCACGGTGTTGTTTACACGGCATTGTCTACACTTACGGTGCTGTCTACACTCACGGCGTTGTCTACACTCATGGCGTTGTCTACACTCATGGTGCTATCTACACTCACAGCGTTGTCTATACTCACGGTGGTGTCTACACGGCATTGTCTACACTTACAGCATTGTCTACACTCACGGCGTTGTCTATACTCATGGCGTTGTCTACACTCACGGCGCTGCCTACACTCACAGCGTTGTCTACACTCACAGCGTTGTCTATACTCACGGTGTTGTCTACACAGCATTGTCTACACTCACAGCGCTGTCTACACTCATGGCATTGTCCACACTCATGGCGCTGTCTACACTCACAGTGTTGTCTATACTCATGGCGTTGTCTACATGGCATTGTCTACACTTACAGTGCTGTCTACACTCATGGCACTACCTACACTCACAGTGTTGTCTACACTCATGGTGTTGTCTACACTCACATTGTTGTCTACACTCACAGCATTGTCTACACTCACGGCGCTGTCTACACTCATGGTGTTGTCTACACTCACGGTGTTGTCTACACTCACAGCGTTGTCTACACTCACAGCATTGTCTATACTCATGGTGTTGTCTACACGGCATTGTCTACACTCATAGTGCTGTCTACACTCATAGCGTTATCTACACTCACGGCGTTGTCTACACTCACGGCACTGTCTACACTCATGGCGCTGTCTACACTCACAGTGTTGTCTACACTCATGGTGCTGTCTACACTCACGGCACTGTCTACACTCACAGTGCTGTCTACGCTCACGTGTTGTCTACACTCATGGTGTTGTCTACACCCACGGTGCTGTCTACACTCACAGCGCTGTCTACACTCGTGCGTTGTCTATACTCATGGTGTTGTCTACACTCACAGCGTTGTCTACACTCACGGTGTTGACTACACTTACAGTGTTTACACTCACGGCGTTGTCTACACTCACATTGTCGTCTTATGTGCACAGTGTTATCCACATGCACAGTGTTGCCTACATGCCTGGTGTCTACATGCACAGTGTTATATGTGCATGGTGTTGTCTACACACATGGTATTGTCTGTCTTGCATGTATGATGTTGTCATAAATGCATAGCATTGCACTGCATAAACACAGAGTGTTTACATGCACAGTGTTATCTACACGCAGTGTTGTGTGTGCATGGCACTGCCTACACACGATGTTGTATGTATCATGTTGTCTACATGCACCGTGTTGTGTGTATTGTGTCTACGTGCATGTTGTCTGCACACATGCTGTTGTGTATGGTGTCTACATGCATGTTGTCTGCACACATGGTATTGTGTGCATGCACAGTATTGTTTTACATCATGCCATGTTCATCACCCCAGTTCTGAGTCAGGGAGGACAGAGAATGTGGCAAGACCATGGTTTGGGAGACACAAGTCCTGCAGTCTCATGGGAGAGATGTGAGGGCTGCATTCCTGCAGAATTAAGGTCACCTTTGCCTGCACACGAAGCCCCTGGGTGGGGGTAGAGCTGCGTGGCTTTGTCCAGGCTGTGTCTAAACCCAGCGCGTGCCACTCACAGGCACCGGCACAGTCGTTCCACAAACAGCCTTTCTCAACTCAGTCCTGGGTTAACAAGCCTAACCCTTCCTGAGTCCCCTAAAAGGATTCATTTTATTCTGGAATTAGGTACGAAATGTCTGTATTTAACTGAAATTTAGCCTTTTCAAAGCAAAAAGAAGTCCATAAAACAAAATGGCACAAAAAGCATTGTCTTTTCAGGTTAGAATTTAAGCTAGAAACAGATTTCAAAGCTGCTACCCTTGGGCTTCTCCCCAGGTTTCTTTCCTTTGGGACACTCAACTCCTGTCTCCTGTCTTTGCTGTCTGGTCTCCTGAAAGACAAATCAGTTTATAAAGCTGCCTGAGGGGCTGGGCGCGGTGGCTCACACCTATAATCCCAGCACTTCGGGAGGCCGGGATGGGCAGATCATAAGGTCAGGAGTTCAAGACCAGCCTGGGTCTACTAAAAATACAACAAGTTAGCCCAGCTGCTCGGGAGGCTGAGGCAGGAGAATCCCTTGAACTAGAGAGGTGGAGGTTGCAGTGAGCCGAGGTGGTGCCACTGTACTCCAGCCGGGCAAAAGAATGAGACTCTGTCTTAAAAAGAGAAAAAAAAAAAAGCTGCCTGAGTGTCCCAACTAGTATCTCAACTAAAAAAAAGGCAAAATACTAACATTCAGTGAACTTGTAGCAAACTGTCGTGTTTCCAAGTATTTTCAGTTATTACAGCCCCAGGAGAGGCTGAGAAGGCCCTGTGCCCTGGAGACCGTGGCCAGTGACACCTCCCGCCGTCCTGCTGGGCCCTGAAGTTGGGGCTCAGTGAGCCTCACGGCGGAGACGTGTCAGACGAGCCTTCGGCCACCTTCCCACACTGGCCTAAGTGCTTCCTCCCACTTTGCTGGCCACTCCATTTAATCCTTTGTGACTGTGAGGCAGGAAGGCCCTGGCAGGGAAGCCACTTCCCCCGTTTTCCCAGGGAGCGGGGATGGGGAGCTGGGAATGGCCAGCTGCATACCTGGGCGATGGCTGAGCTCTCTGTGCACACCTCCCCCGCCAGGCCTGGAGCACACACACCTGCTAAATGCCTGCCGAGTGACTCGGTGATAACACGCTCGTGACATGGCCTTTTCGCTCAAGGCCACGGATGCCGCCTCTCCTATATGTCTTGCAGAACGCTAGACACGGCAAATTCCTGGTTCAGAGTCTGCTTTTGTGCCCTGTTCAGAGGCACACCGAAAAGCGGGGAGCCACACAGGCTGCACCTGACCCTCCAACCTGTGCTCACTTGAGCAGCAGAGCCAGGGTTTGCCAGACCACACAGCCCTGTGGCTCACGGGGCGAAGGACTTTTCAGTGCAGCTTACTTAAAGATGCCAAATATAGTTCCGTTTGTACAAGCCTGCCTGTCTTTGGAAAGCATGCTGAAGAGCCACTGCACACTACAATTGTTATGATACCTGCAGGCCACCGTGACCTTAGCAGTCAGGGAGGGTGCTTACGAGCGCACAGGGACAGATTGTGTGGTTCCCGTCCAAGCTCCACCACTCACTGGGCTATGTGGCACTGGGCAAGTGCCTGAACCTCTCTGTATGTCAGTTCCTTCTCCTGTAAGACTGTGATAAAATCAGCCTCCGCGGTGATGTGAGGAGCTCGTGTGGAGGATAACACACGTGAAGCAGCTGGAACAATGCCTGGTACAGAAGTGCCATGGAGTCAGCACTCACCATTGTCGTTTTGTAGAGACGGAGTCTTGCTGTGTTTCCTAGGCTGATCTAGAACTCCTGGGCTCAGGCAGTCTGCCCACCTTGGCCTCCCACAGTGCTGGGATTGCAGACGTGAGCCACTGTGCCCAGCCCTCACCATTGTTAACACAGCTCGAGGACCCCCTTCCATAGGCTACAATTTGTGAATTAAAGAACAAAGCTAAACTTAAGTGAAGTTTCAACTTTGATTTTTAGTGAGTTGAAAAAAATCTGCTTGCTTTGGTTTCTAGAGGGGTAAGCGATTCCAGGGGTGATCTTGGACGCGTGTTTTCTCAGGACACAGAAACTAGACGCTGCAGCAGCGCAGTGAACCCTCCCTTCCCGTCCACAGCTGAGGACCGTGAGCGCTTGGAGCAAACTTCCTTCCTTCTTAATAACAGCGCCCCACGGTGGCTCGTGCCTGTCAGCCCAGCACTTTGGGAGGCTGAGGTGGGGGGATCACTTGAGGTCAGGAGTTTGAGACCAGCCTGGACAACAAGGTGAAACCCGGTCTCTACTAAAAATACAAAAATCAGCCAGGTGTGGTGGCCGGTGCCTGTAGTCCCAGCTACTCAGGAGGCTGAGGCAGGAGAATCGCTTGAACCCAGGAGGTGGAGGTTGCAGTGAGCTGAGATCACGCCACTGCACTCCAGCCTGGGTGATGGAGCAAGACTCTGTCTCAAAAAACAAACAAAAAACAGCACCCCGAACATCCGTAACCCTTTGAACTGTGTGAATTTCGTGTCCTGTTGGGCCGATCTCCGTTGGTGCATTTTTGGAGTGTCCTATGCCGCTGCCCTCCCTGCAGGCCTGGCAGGACCAGACCCACAGCCATGGACACTCACAAAACGCCCACCAAGTGCCACCAGAGATGGGACATGCAGAGCTGCTGTGAGTGCACACACGGCATGAGACGCCCAGAGGAAGCCATGCTCAAGAGTGAGGACCAGCCGTCTACGGTGAAAACAAGCAGGAGCCTTGTCCCAGAGGTGCGTGTGTGTGGGGTGCGCCTGCTCTGGGCTGCGGGGACACAATCGTGGGGCTGCTGGTCCTAAGGGCACACAAGAGGCTGCCTGGAAAACCAGAAGCAGGAGCTCCCGGACGTCAAGGCTGTGAACACTCGGACGCCTCCCTGTCTCCAGCAAGCCGGGAGCCTTATCTTATCGCCGGCGCTTCAGCTCTCCCGTTATTTAGGGACCGGCCACAGGCTCGATGGCATTCCTCTGCCGTGAGCACAGAACTAAACTGGGCGCGTCCGTGGCGGACGAACGGAATGGTGGAGTGAACGTGTAAGTGAGATTTCAGTGACTTAGCTGCAGCCCTCAGATTTTAATTCTGCCGTGATCAACAGACAGCACCCACGAGGTTTGGAAGAGCAAATGCCTCCTAGGAAAGCTGGACTGCATGTCTGCACCTGCCATTTCCCTGAAATTCATGCAAAAGCTTGATCCTAAAATCAATTTGCTACTTAAAGGAAAGCTGGACTGCATGTCTGTGCACCTGCTGTTTCCCTGAAATTCATGCAAAAGCTTGATCCTAAAATCAATTTGCTACTTAAAGGTATTTTAAGAAGCTTTGTCTCCAATCTTGTCCAGTCGAGTTTACGTCATTTTCTTAGAACACATTTGTGTATGGGCAACTCTCCAAGCTGAACCGTTTTGGGAGATGATGTTCTAACCTTCAGTCATTGGAATTTAGAACTAATCCCCAAACAGTATTAATGGGTCCACATTTCAAACTGGCTTATTTTACATCCCTTTGTAATGAATTTGGAACAAGAAGGTTTAATCTCTGCAGTGAGAGGTGAGCCCTCACCCTTCTCACACCGGCACGGCCGAATCACCTGCTCACACCCGCACGGCTGAGAGAAGCTTAATTGGCTTTAACTCTATTAGAAACAGAAGGTGCTAGGCTTAGTTAACGCTTTACAAACACAAGTGAAAAGTCACGTTTAAAAATTGAATCTTAATCTGCAAAGTAATACTGTGACCCCCAGAGAAACCACAGGAGAAACACGATCTGCCTCATATCAAATTTGAGGGACACTGGTGTCTATTAAATTGCCACTTTTAGCAGCAGCATCATGTAACACCATCGACTGAAGGACTGCACTGCCTTCAAAGCTCTCAGGGGCTTACTGGGAGAACGTGAGCAGCCACAGTGCTCCCTCCAGCCCACACACAGGAGCGAGGTGGGGCCCGGCCCTACCTGTGGCCACAGTGCTCCCTCCAGCCCACACACAGGAGTGAGGCGGGGCCCGGCGGCTTACTGGGAGAACGTGAGCAGCCACAGTGCTCCCTCCAGCCCACACACACAGGAGCCAGGTGGGCCCGGCCCTACCTGTGGCCAGCAGTGCTCCCTCCAGCCCACACACACAGGAGTGAGGCGGGCCCGGCCCTTACCTGTGGCCGCAATGCCTCCCTCCAGCCCCACGCACCAGAGAAGTGACGGGGCCCGGCCCTACCTATGGTCACAGTGCTCCCCTCCAGCCCACGCGCACCAGAGTGACGGGTCTGCCCTTACCTATGGTCACAGTGTTCTCCAGCCCACACACTGCGCAGCAGGGTCTGCCCTACCTGTGGCCGCAGTGCTCCCCTCTCCAGCCCACGCACTGGAGTGTGATTGGCCCGGCCCTACCTATGGTCACAGTGCCTCCAGCCCACACACACTGGAGTGCAGCAGCGGCCCGGCCCTACCTGTGGCCGCAGTGCTCCTCCAGCCCACGCACCAGAGTGTGACGGCCCAGCCCTACCTATGGTCACAGTGTTCTCCAGCCCACGCACCAGAGAGTGACGGGCCCAGCCCTACCTATGTCAACAGTGTTCTCCGCCCACGCAGACCAGAGAGTGACGGGGCCCAGCCTCACCTATGGTCACAGTGCTCCTCCAGCCCACACACAGGAGTGAGGCGGGCCCGGCTCCTACCTGTGGCCGCAGTGCTCCTCCAGCCCACGCACCAGAGAGTGATGGGGCCCGGCCCTACCTATGGTCACAGTGCTCCCTCCAGCCCACACACCGGAGAGGACGGGCCCGGGCCTCACCTATGGCCAGTGTGCTCCCTCCAGCCCACACAGGGAGTGAGGCGGGCCCGGCCTCTACCTATGGTCACAGTGTTTCCAGCCCACTGACCGAGAGTGACGACGGGGCCCGGCCCTACCTATGGTCACAGTGCTCCCTCCAGCCCACACACCGGAGTGCAGCGGGGCCTGGCCCTACCTGTGGTGAGGGCCTCGGCGGTTGCCATGTGCATGATGGTATTGTCACTCACGGGCCATTCTCCTGGCGAGAGGACGAGGTGGTCCAGGCCCCCAGAACGTTGCAGCTCCTCCTGAATCTTCATGCCCACAGTGCTGTTCTCCTTGCAGACATTTCTGTAGCCAAGAGCATCGCCGACGCTCCCCAGCAACATCGCAGCCTTAAATTTCTCCATCAGGGCAGGCAGCTCCTCTTACCCTACAGCTGCAGAGCGTCCTGGCCTTTGTCTCCTCCTCGGCCCGCCTGACTTTTATAGTGGTCATTGTGTCGCTGTCAGGAGCGTCCTCTGACGGCCCGGCACTCCTTGTCTATCTCTGCAGGTGGCACCAATGAGAGGACGTTTCTGTCCCCCACGTGGGAGGTGTCAGCTTTCTTCCGCGTCTGGACAGGCACCAGCTCCTCAGCAAAGGAGTCTGCTGGCTTCTGCCAGCACCCGGAGCACCTTCAGAGCGTTGACAGAGCGGGGGCTCCTCTCGCTGTCCCTGGAAGGAGCGTGCACACTTCCCCGTGTGTGGTGCGGGGTGACGCGGGAGCAAATGTGCGCAGGTGTGCCTGTCACTGTGGCCCGCTGCGGGGTGTGCCCTCACCCCAGGCAACAACCCATCTGCTGTCTACAGTTCTGCCTTTTCCCGGACATTTCAAATACAATGTGTGGCCTTCAGTGTCCGTCTTCCTTCACGCAACATAATGTTGAGATTAATCTGTGACATGCAGTTTTATCTTTCAGAAAACTTTTCGATTATGATATGTTTTTGATAGAACACTTTGTACTTTTCGATTATGATATGTTTTTGATAGAACACTTTGTAAAGGGAACAAAGTCTAGCTCCTGGGTGAAAAACGACGGTGTCTTCTCAGCACGCGGTGTTTAACGGCTCTCAGATAACTGGACTGCACTGTGAGGGGGAAAGTCGTCAGCAAAGCACAGCCTTCGCTGGAACCTCCCATCCAGCCCTCAGTCAGCTCAGTGTATTTACAACATCCCTGCTAGCTCACAAAAAGAATATTAAAAATACAGAGGCCAGGGGTGAGGCAGACCAGTTACGGCTCCTGGTTTGAAATAAATTAGGGAAACAGACCGTCGCCCGACCCCAGCCCTGGACAGGTCTCTGCAGAGGCCCGCTGCCCAGCGGGGCTGTCTCTCTCCCACCTCCCACCTCGGGGCCTGGTTTCCATCAGACCCAGGGGAAGCGAAGGGAGTTACACCTGGACTGAAGGAATGCGTCTGATAAAAATGAAACTCGCTGGGCGCGGTGGCTCAAGCCTGTAATCCCAGCACTTTGGGAGGCTGAGACGGGCGGATCACGAGGTCAGGAGGTCGAGACCATCCTGGCTAACACGGTGAAACCCCGTCTCTACTAAAAATACAAAAAACTAGCCGGGCGAGGTGGCGGGCGCCTGTAGTCCCAGCTACTCGGGAGGCTGAGGCAGGAGAATGGCGTGAACCCGGGAGGCGGAGCTTGCAGTGAGCTGAGATCCGGCCACTGCACTCCGGCCTGGGAGACAGAGCGAGACTCCGTCTCAAAAAACAACAACAAAAACCACGAAGCTCTTGCAGTATTTACAGTGAGACAGCAAGAAGCATCTAAGTCACCGTCTGCGTTATACCAGCACTTGTTAAACTGGAGGTTCTCGAGCAGTGAGCTCATCTCATCCTCCACTGTCTGCTGGTAGAGCCAAGCATTAACAAAATCATGCCAGCTAGCATGATCCTGAGATCCAGAAACAACAGTCCTTCAAAACCAGCAGGCAGGCCGGGCGCAGGGGCTCATGCCTAGAATCCCAGCACTTTGGGATGCCGAGGCAGGTGGATCACCTGAGATCAGGATTTTGAGACCAGCCTGACCAATATGATGAAACCCCATCTCTACTAAAAATATAAAAATTAGCCAGGCATGGTGGTGTGCACTTGTAATCCCAGCTACTCGGGAGGCTGAGGCAGGAGAATCGCTTGAACCCAGGAGGCAGAGGTTGCCGTGAGCCAAGATCACGCCACTGCACTCCAGCCTGGGCAACAAGAGCAAAACGCCGTCTCAAAAACAAAACAAAAAAACCCCAAACACAAAAAAACAGCATGTACGCAGGTTCCCTACCCAAACAGGACAGACAGGAGGGCAGCCCTTCGTTCGAACTCACACCCGTTCCAGGCAGAGCTGCACTGTGGGGCCAAAGCCTGTGTTGTTGAGGGGAGTGACACAGACCCCCCGCTGGGCGCTTCAGTCGATTCTCAGGCAGCGGAAACCTTTGCCAAGAGCACTATCTGGCTCCCTCAGCAAACAGGACAGGATAAGGTTAGCTAATTAGTTTATCCAGGAAATATTTGCAGAGCCCCTACTTTGTACCTGAAACCGTGGACACAGTAACAAATATCAGAAGTTTACTCTTGGCCCCATGAAGCCTGAGGTCACAAATGGATATAAACTTAAAGCTAAAACAGCACAATGACATGCACAATGTCACTGAGAGGAGCTGGCAATGTTGATTCCGGAACGCCTGGCAGGTGCACTGCAAAGGGGCAGGTCGCACATGATCCTTAGACCCCGGTGCTTGGCTGTTTCCCTCCGATAAGGGATGGTTTCCAGCAGTGCGTGCTGGCACATGTCCCCCCACCTGCTCCCACACACCCCTGTAAATCCTATTGTGAGATCTCTAATTCCTCACGAGCTACCACTTCAGGCACACGGTGCACCGCTGAGAGGGAACGCAATGACAGAAGCTGCCTGAGGACCTGTTACCTGGCCAGGGCTGGTGCGCCACATGGAAGGGCAGGGGCTTGCCCGCTGGTTGCTAGCTGGGGGCTGTTCTGTCATCCCGGGACAAGGGCTCAGATGCTGACACCTGTAGGCAGGCATCCCTGCGGCCGAGGAGAAATCGAAAGGAAACCACACCCGAGATAAAACAATTTAATGCTTCTGTTCTCAGCATTTCACAGCATGCAGGACTCAAATGTATACAACAGAAGAAAAAAACTCACAGATTTCTGGAAAAGCCTTTGTCCAGTGATATTTTGATATCTACTGACAATCTCTTAGAACTTTAAATCTCAAAAACAAAAAAGTACTGCGGATCTCCATAATTTATACAGAATTATCTGAATTCTATAAACTTTTCTGAACAGAACAATTACATGTCAAGAATCCATGAAGCCTCCAAGATGCGCTCACACATTTGAGGTTTTTATTAAAGCCAGTTTTTATTGTATTAAACAAATGCTCTCTGAGAATCGAAGACTTCTACAGGTAGACAGGCCCAGTTTCCCGTTAAGAGTTCTGGAAGCAGAGCCTGGGGAAGGTCTGTGACTTGCCCATCACTGGACCACCAGAAGACAGCGGGGGCCAGGCGAGGTCTCCAGGCTGCAGGTCCCTTCCAGTCCTGTCCCTGCTGCCCCCGTGACCGTCTCTGCTGAGAAGCATCGACAGTTCGTCCTGCAGCCGCCAAGCTCACGAACCTCAGCCACCAGATGTTCCTCAAGCACAGGGCGAGTCCTGTTCTCAGAAGCCAACCCAGCTGTGTGTCTGGGCTCTGCTCTCTCACACCGCAGCGAGGTCATCTGCGGCGACTCTCCTCTCTCCTGGGAAGCATCTCCAGCTGGTCCACGTCCTGCATGGTGCTGCAGGGGGGCAGCAAGGCACGCTTGTGACATGAGGGTCTCGGCACATGTGAGGCAGGGTCAGCAGTGATGTCCACAACTCAACACACGCCCTCCACACTGGGCGGCCCTCGTGGGTGCCCCTCAACCAGGCGGCCACGAAAACCAGATGAAAACACGGCACAAAGACAGACTTCAGCTCACCAATCAGATGAAGGTTTTGGGGTTGGGTTTTTTCAGACAACGATGTACATTTTAGCTTCCGAATGTGCACAGGGGCACAAAGGTTCGGATGCTGGCAACATGGGCACCACAGGAGGGTGGAAAAAACCACTCATTCGATTTTACTGTATTGATTTATTTTTTAATTTACTGAGACAGAATCTCACTTTGTCATCCAGGATGGAGTGCAGCGGTGCAATCTCGACTCACCGTAACCTCCGTCTCCTGGGTTCAAGCAATTCTCCTGCCTCAGCCTCCCGAGTAGCTCAGATTACAGGCATGTGCCACTACGTTCGGCTAATTTTTGTATTTTTAGTAGAGACGGGGTTTCACCACGTTGGCCAGGCTGGTCTCGAACTCCTGACATCAGGCGATCCACCTGCCTCGGCCTCCCAACGTGCTGGGATTACAGGCGTGAGCCACCGTGCCTGGCCTCGATTTTAAAATCTACAATTCATCACTCATGAAATAAATGTTTTTCATGGAAAAATGTCTTTTAAAATATAACTAAAACATATTTTTTAAAAACACACTTTATGAAGTTTCTCAGGTCAAGTAACATTTAAGTAAGAGGGGTCCACTGATGTATAAACGGTGTGAGATAAACTCTACTGGAATTGTGCCATGTGTGCCGTTGCTGTGCAAAGCTACATGGGGACTGAGAACCATAAAATGATTTTCAGATTATGTCTAGAGAAAATGGAAACAAAAATAGAGCTGGTAAATCTAGATATTTGATAATTCAAAAAATATAAATCTTGAATTCCTGGCACCAATTTTAAAAAACATTAGACTCTATGACAAGATCATTTCCTTTAGGGCACATTCTTAACAGCTTTGACTTATATAAAAACGCAGCATCCTGCAGAGGACACATGCCGTGCTTCCAGTGCCACTGCAACATCATTCGGTGGCGTTCGGCCGGCCGCTGGTTCGCCTGATGGCGCGAGCAACGCAGCATGCTCTGCGGTCCCACAGGCGGCGCCACGGCTCTACCTTAGTGTTTTGTAACTACTAAAAAATCATGCAGAAATCTCCTAATGCAACAGCTATGATGACAAATCTCCAAACATCCCAAAGCAGCCATGTCCTGGGGAACTTCCTGCGGTGTCCACAAAGCAGCCGCTGCTGTTCTCCGGCAGAATGGGATGGCTCCTCTGGTTCCATGGCGGGTCAGCGGGTCAAGAATGACTTCTGGAATCAGTGACAATGCACCCAGGAACTCTGGAATCAGTGACAACGCACCCAGGAACTGACCGAAATCTCCTTGCAGGATACAAATCATTCCATCATCTTACTCCTGCTTAACTTGCTGCCTAGAAAAGGCTGCGTTTTCCACCTGTGACTACTGGCCGTGCATATTCTACAAAATCATCTATAAGAACAGGCCAAGCTCCTAAAGGAAAGCAAGCAAACAGAAGACCCGTTAGAGCACCGTTTTTATCTTCAAAGCATTGTCACATATCAATCCAACACTTACATTTCAAGAACCCAAATGATTTGAGGTCCATACCATTTGCGTTTCACAGAATGAACCAGCCCAAGTTACCCAGTTCTTTTGCCCTAGCACAGCCAGGTCGGGAGCCCTGGTGTGTGCGTGCTGGTATGTCCGGGGGGCTGTGGGCTCACAGTGGCCCCGCTTGCTCCATGAGTGCCCCAGGCAGTCACACCAGCTGCTCAGGAAGGGAGCGAAATGGACCCACTCGGACCAGGAGGCACGTTCCTCAGGTCACTGGCATTCTTACCAGCAGGGGGTGCTGCCTCCTGCGGCTCTTCCCCAGTGGGACCACCCCATCGTGCCCTTCCCTTCCCCACCCCGGCAGCCCCGAGGGCCCTCTGAGCTCCTGCACTGCTGCCTCAATCCTGGAAGCTGTGCTTCTGTCAATGAAATTCAATGATCCCTTCTTTCATTTGACAAGCAGTTACTGGGTGCCTCTGATCTAGGGACGGTGCAAAGTGTGGAGGATACAGAGAAACAGAAGCTAAAGCAGGCAGACAGCCACGTAAACCACCCGTTAAAGGCACGGCGCCAGTGCCCAGAACAGATCGCTGCCTGCCGAGGGGGAGGGAGGAAGCAAAGTGGGTGGGGGTCTGGAGGGGAGGCCTTCCACCCAGAGACCATCCCTCCCGAAGGTGGCAGCGTGCCCAGCACACAGCAGGCTCCAAAGGTCCTCCAATGCAGCGTCCTAAACACAGGGGGAGACAAATATATAGAGATATATTTACGTAAGAAGACAGGAGCTGGAATCTCTGAGGAAGCCTAAAGAGCGCGGTGTGGAACTGACCTAAGGCGTCATGCGTGACAGAATCTGGGAGTGGCGGTTTCTAACACCTAACTCTGTGGCTCCACCATGGGGGTCTCTGCACATCCAATTTTGAAATACTTTGGCTTAGAGGACTGTCTTCTTGATTTACACTAAATATAAAGCTGCATTTTTCTTTTGTATGATTTACAGAAAATAAGGAAGGGGGTAGGT